CCCGAGGTTTGCCCTTAGAAGAGGCATCTATGGTGAAACACGGAACAGCTTCTCTTTATGACAAATGAATGTCCGTCACGCGCAAAGAAGCACCTTAGCTGACCGAGAGAAGTGAAGAGGCCTAACAGCAGTACAGATAGTGAGATGAGGCCAGTAGTAAAAATATCCCCCTTCTTCAGGGCTCTATGAGGGTCCAGAGACTGAGGATCGATGGTTCTTGGTAGCAAGTTAGATTGAACACATCCTTATTAGCATTCTCTGGAGGATGGTCCGAAATTCTAGGGCTTCATGGCTGCTCCCCAGGATTCACTCAAAAAAACCTTGTCATAGTGGTAGTCCCAGGGAAATTTATCTAGAGAGTGGCGTGGGACATAGAAAAAGACTTGAAGGAGTTCAGGAGTTCGTTAATACCCACCTAAGACCAAGGCAGAACGCTGGAGGACACAGTTGCTAAAGAACAGTTGGCAGAACCACGTTTCTAACCAATGGCTACAATGTTGGACCATTATATGGCTTATTTCATGTACAGTCAGACATTTAGAAGCATTAGCATGTAGTGACTGACTGTTTATCATTATTTTGACCGTCACCTTCATTTGCAAATCATCATTGTTATTATCATCAGTAGCATTATCATCATGAATATGTCATTATCATGATTCTCATTATATTCAAGTAGCATTATCATCATCATGCTATTATTATGCTTATCATAATCATTAGTAGTACTGTCTTCACTTCACTAATAGTACTGTTATCATCAGATTATTATGGAAAACGGTAATAGTAATAGCGTTATTAATAGTAATAGCATTGCAGACTGATCAGGAACGGCCCTAATTCTCTTGGGTGACAGTGGGCAGGTCCAAACTCGCTGGTTCCTGAATCTGCCCCTGGCCTTGGTGACGTCCTGGCTGCCCTGTCCTCCGCCCCGATCGTAGCAGCCGATGCTTTCGATGAAGGACACCAGCTCAAGCTTTTATTGGAGTTTGAAAGAAATCAGAAAGCCATTTTTAAAGTAATGAGGTAAAAGGGTGTATTCTGTAACGTGTAAGATTTTTTAAAAAGGCGAGAGCCATGAAAGATACAGGGATAAGAAATTAATTGTAGAGTAAGAAATGTAATAATATTTGCTCAGGCTTATATAGACCCCAGAAGTATAGAAGATACCATTGATTGACGATTCAGTGTTACATTTCTAAAGCAGATGTTGGGGCAGATTAAGCAGCATGTCGTTCACTGCAGAAATATAGGATTAATGTGAAAAAGGAAAATCAATACTGTTTCCAGAATCAGTGTTTATGATAACATATGCTTCTGTATGAACACTGAATCCATTTTGAATTCAGAGTAAGTGATTTTATTTCAGAGTAGGTGATTTTAAATTCTGTCCTCAGACTTTCCATTCTGCAGGTACAATCGCTCGGCAGTAATTACAGTCATGAACTCAGGATACGATCGCCATAATGGGGAAATCGCCGCCTTCCACACTGCTAGACTCCTGGGGCTGCAGATGGCTCCGGTGGCTGTAGGTCGCAGAATACATCTAGCAAAGGAAGTCTTGCCTGTAGCTTCAAAGAGGCTTGCTAAAACCTTTTACATCGATGGAAGTGCGTATGATATTATGCATTCCATGGTATAATTTCCACGTTAACTGAGTGCATTAACTATCTTTTTTAATGAGGATTATAGGTAATGATAGTATTAGGTGACTGAATAATACTTGCTTTGATAAGGAGACTAATGGTAAGGAGTGATTTCGTAACAACAATGTCGAGATATTTATTTCCTGTTTCGTGGATGGGGCATAACTGTGCAATTCCTCTGTGTAAGGTATAACTCTAACACTGCGTCCTTTGCATTGGTAGTGATATAGTGTGTATCCTGTGTCCTTGAGTCGTGGCGTGCTGTGGTGCAGCATTAAATGACTATTGCTCCTTTATAAGCTGGTGATCACTTGAAGCCAAGCGCAGCTGTTGCTCTCAAGAGTAAATGTAATCGATAGATGCGATTGCCAAAATGTGCAGCTATCGCCCTTTCACGTATGTACCTTCTCGCAACCATGGCAAAGACACGGGCGGGGTACACTATGAAGAAAGCTCCTTTCTGTATGGCATAAAAGCCGATATCCTCGCCCTAAAGTGTGTGATCCGCCTTTATAAGCATTCATTTTTTTCGTTAAGTTAAACTATAAACACACATTCTTTTACTGGCTCTATGTAGGGTTGACCGTTTTCACATTTCTTTTTTTCAGGCGGGCAGGTGTGCTTCTATGCAGATTACGATAATGGCCAACAGAAAAATGCACAGTGCCCAACGAAAAACAACTTGACCGAGGGTGTTGTGATTATGTGGATACCAGAGCACATTAAATTATTAGAAATAAATTATCCTTGGCGACATTATTACAAAAAGAAAGGCCACGTCAAGTAAGTAGACACTTTATGAGGAAGAAGAGGGAAACGGACGCAATTAGAAATGAAATTAAGTCGTACGATTT